AGAAACCCGGCCCGGCCCGGGGCCCGGCTGTCCCTGCCGGGGACTGCTGCCACCAGCCAGGGCTCAAAGGATCCCCCTCCCAAGCTCACGGAGGGTGGTTTCACCGGTGCCCCCCAAGCACCCAGCCCAGCTTGGGGGCTTGCGCTGTGGTGCATCATCGGGGTGGGGCGGAGGGCACCCGGGGACCCCCTCCTCACATGTCGCAGACCCTCAGGGTCCTGGCACCCCCGGGTGCAGCCCCCACCTCCCAGCCTGCCCGCCCTGTTCTGTAGCCACGCACTCAGGGCTGTTTTCACCGGGGGGCTTCAGTCACCCAGCGTGGGTTTGTGGGGAACATGGTCGTGCCAGTGGCATCCCCCTGCCTGGCGCAGGGCAGGGACATTGCGGTGCTGAGCTTACATGTTATGGGGGTGTTTCTATGGTTTGGGACAGGGCAGGGAAGAGGTCTGAGCCAGGCACGCTCAAACCCTCGCCCCGGAGCCGAGGCTGGTGCGGATGTGCCTCTGCAGGGGCTTGGTGGGGGTGACAGCATGTCTAGTCCCTGCTTGGAGCCCGGTGAGGGCTATTCCAGAGGCTCTGTGTGTGTGTGTATAGGGCCAGGCCACCCCCCACCTCCCCACACCTTTTCCCCTGCTGTCTGACCCTCTCTGTCACACTGCCAATGTGCGGGGCCCCGGGAGCTTCCCTGTGCAGGCTTGTCCCCTGCCTGCCGTGCGCACTGCCTGTCCCGTGGCAGGCAGGGCTGTCAGCACAGCCACCCCGGCCCTCTGCCCCGCCGGATGGGGAAGAGCCCAAGAGCAGGGAGGGAGAGTGCCATGCACTGCCCGCGAGCGGGGAGAGGCAAGCCAGGCGCTGGCAGCGTTGTAGGGCGCGGCGGGGAGCAGAGATGCACTGTCATTGCCCATGGCTGGGGGCGAGCCGACAGGAGCCGCAAGGCTGGCAGGTCTCCGTGCGTGGTGCCAGCTGCTGTGCTGGCTCCTGTCACCAGGCCTGTCAGAGCAGGTTTGGGATGAGGACGCTGCAAACCCCAGCAGAGCAGTGTGTTTCCCTCCTGCAGTCCCCCGTGTCTGTATCCAACGGCTGGCAGGACCCTCCGGGCCTCTCTCCCTGCCCTTGGCCCTGTTTTCTCCTTTCCTGGGGCAATTTTGCAGCACTGCTGCTGGCTGCTGAAACATTGGAGCAGGAGGAGCCCCCTCGCCCCAGCAGCTCCAGAGTGGGATGGCTTTTTGCAGCCCCTTTCTTGCAGTTGACACCCAGCACTGACTGCTCTTTCAGATTTGCAAGTCACCAGCTCCAGCACCTCTTCCCTTGTCTCCACATGCGTTTGTGAGTGGAAAGTCCCCATCACATGGCGATGCCATCTGGTCACCTCCCAGCGCTGGAGTGTCTGCAGCAGGCAGGGAAACACTGGGAGAGGCTTAAGCAGTGAGGATGCTCACGCACGCTGTAGCCAGGCACAGCAAGCAGACCTGTGCTTTAATGGGGCCAGCAGGCAGGGCCTGTGAGCATCGCACTTCACTGCAGAACGAGTACGGTTCTTTGATGTGAGTGGGCCTTGCACAGCACGTCCAGCCATGGTGGGCTCGTGGCCATCTCTTACTAACCCCTTCCATCCTTGAAAAGAGCCCTGGGGTGATGGAAGGGCTTCAGCAAGCCCTTCAGCATGTGTTGCCATGGGATGCCTGAAAATTCAAACCATTTCTCACAGCCAAGGCACATCTATGATCCATGGAGAGGGACCATGCTTTGGCACTGGCTTCTTTAACCCATCCTCCTATAGCAGGAGCTGGTTGCCTGAAATCAGTAGACTCAGACCAAAAATAACGTGGTTATTTTGGTACATCTTCCAAAAAGCTGTATCTTCTCTGGTACATCTTCCTAAAGCTCTCCTCCTGAGCAACTGTTGCATCAAAGCTGGCTTGGTTTGGTTTTCCTAAAGGCTCTACTCAGTGGAAGCAGACGTTAATTCAGGGAACTGTAGGGATTTGCGTTACTCAGGGGCTAAGCTAGATCATTTGACATGGAAGAGGGGTAGAAGTGGGGACTCTCAGCATGCACCGCTGCTTCTGTCCAGCTGCAGGGACTTCTGTTGCTCTTGCTGATACCCTAATTCTTGGGGGATCGTGCCCTTAAGCTGTGTCTGTATCTAATGGAATAGCAGTTTGTACTAAGGAGAGGGAAAGGAGGAAGAGGCTGCAGAGGCCTCATGGAGCAGAGGATGCTGGACTACGCCCTGCCGGCCACGGGAGGATCGCCAGTTTGCTCAGTGCCTTGGCAGCTTTTTAACCCTGCTAAATGCGTGGTGCAGACCTCACAACATGCCCGAGAACCCGTTCCCCTTCCCGCCTCGTGGTCCCTCCTCGCTGACCACCAGACTCCACGTTGCAGCCCACTGCTCCGTGGAGATGCTCAGGAAACCAACAAGGATGTGCCTCCCAGCGGGTCAAGAGTTATCCAACAGCAGTGGTTTCAAAGCGGGTTTCAACCACTTCCGTCCTCCCTCCTTTCACCAGCCCCATTCCTCTGTCACTGGTGACAGGGTGGATTGACCACTGTGAGGCAGAGCCCACCCAGAGTGGTAGGATCTCCTTCTGGACCTCGATTCCTCCAGGAACCAAGCAAAATCGATAAACTGGAAACAAGGAAATTTGATGGTTTTTACTAATTTCTTTCAGTAAATTAGTGCCTGGCGGTGCTGGCTACGTATTGAAGTGCCTGAAGTTACAGATCTTTTCTGGAAGATGGTTTTCAGCTATGTGGTATTTAAAGATTTGTGAATAAAATAGTGACGCAGGTCAGGGCCGTGACTTTAGGGTTGAAATAGATGTTGACTGTCAGTGATCTCGCAGCTGCCTGGCCTTTAAGGTAATGTTTGCTCCAGGCCTTTTTTCCCAGGCAAACACCAAGGAGGACAGTAAAACTCTGAATCCTTTTTCAGGGTCTAAATCACTCCCACGAGCATTTTTTTGAAAAGAGAAGGTGAAGATGGAAGTAACTGCCACGCTTGGGGGATTGCCCTAGTCCTAGGTCACTTCAAACCAGAGCAGTTTTTCATCAAGTTTTCCCTATCGATGCTCTTGTCAGTTGTTGTCACTGGTGACCCAGGTATTGCCCCAGGCATCACTCACCTCTTGCACATCCATGTTCGGCCGCACTGGTTGTGCGGGAGAGGCTGCATGGTGTTGCCCAGATTTGCGTTACCCTTCGGACAAGTGCTTGCCATCCTGTCCTCCCAGAGAGCTTCCAGCTGAGCACAAGTGTTCGTGTAGTGTGAGAAGGTGAAGGAAGGCAGGCTGTGGTGTGAAGTCCAGTATTGGTAAGGAGGTACCCATCTGTTTGGCACTTGTGAGGCCACAGGTGGATACTGGGAGCAGTTTGGGACTTTCCAGTACAAGAAAGGCATAGGCACCCTGGAGTGACTCCAGTAAGGCCATCAGGATAGCCAGGGGGACCTGGCAATCAAGCACTGGGACAAGGACCCGTAGAAGCAGTACGATATTCATCCTTAGAGCTACTCAGTCTTTGACTGAACAAGAGGTTGGAGCAGAGACCTCCAGAGGTCCCTTCCCACCCCAGCTATCCAAGGGGGCTTGCTGCAAGCTGCCAGAGGGAAGCAAGACTCCAAATCTTTTAACGTTTCCCAGTGTTTTGTGATATCAGGTCCAACAGGGAATCCTGCTGTACGTGACAAAGAAACAAGGCCCTTTCCTAAGCTGTGATCTTTGTATCGTGGTGTGCTTCCCTGCATCCTCCTGCTGCACTTAAGAGTAACTGAAATCTTGGCTTTTAAAAACTGCCACCAGCAAATGGAGAACGTTTTTGGGTGGCACTGCCAGTTCCCAGTGTAAATTAGGAAATTATTATTTTCCTTTGGAAAATGGAAGTGTCAGATTCAAAACAGACTTGGGTAAATGCATGGTTTTTCATAACTAAAAGAAAGAAACCACAGGAGCCGGTACCAGCTTAGAGCCTGTTTCTGTGATGCAGGGCAAGGAAACGGCCTCCTTTCTCTTCCCTACTGCACAGATCCTTTGCACCAAGCAGATGTTTTTCCTTCATTAATTGAGAAGCTTGTCTGACTTCTTTGTTTCCCCTTTTTAGGCCATGAACCCGGACTTGTGCAGCTGGTGAATTACTACAGGGGAGCAGACAAGCTGTGCCGCAAAGCATCTCTGGTGAAGTAAGAAATTCACTGAAATGTTACATGGGATTGGCAGAAATTTTTCTTCTAACCATTGTCGAGTGTCGAACCTGTTCGGAGGGTATTTCACAGAACAGCTGCCCTGGGAGTGTCCTAGCATGTGCTGTCTTCAGACTCCTATGCTGATCTCTAGAGCTAACTGTGTGCACAAAGACCTCTTTGTAACTTCAGGGGAAATGCTGTTTCCACTGAATTACATCTGCTTGAAACCTTAGAGTGTATTGAATCAGATTAGAGCCAAACCAAACGAAAAAAAAAATCTGCTCTTTTTCCCTGTAGACATTTAATTAAAACCTACTCCTTTTATTCTCTGTTTCATACAGAGATGAGACACTAATATGCCTTTAGCTAATCAGATTTGTTGATCAAACAAATGCTTGGAGACATCTCCAGGAAGAGCTCTGGGAGTTATTTCTGCATGACCAGCTGTGCCAGGGTCTCCTGGGGAAATGTGGATGAGCTTTCATTGTAGATAACCCTCGTCCCTGTGCAAACTCTGCAGCCATTAGGGCATCTTCATGTCAGAGCTCTTGGTCTCCTTCAAGCGTTTGATTCCACGTTAGTGTCTGTGCTGCCTGTTGCTGATGCAGTCCTGCAGACTGCGTGTGCTGAGCCGAGGCCTCTCCTTCCCCTGTGAAGAACCTGGTCCCAATTGCTTTCTTTACAGTGGCGATGGTGTTTGTCCAGAACTAGCAGAGTATTTTTTAAACAAGCACTCATGGTACTCCCCCTCAGATTTCTCTGAGGCCCGTGGTCTAGAGGCAGTGCTGAAAGTGCTTGCACGTCTGGTTTTCTTCTCCTGAACCTTGGCTGACCTTTCTAACTGTGGGGTCAACCATGCATCAAGCTACTTATGAACCCAAGGGACCACAAATGATATTCCTCAGGGCTCCCAGGGTGTCACTGACTGACTGCCATTTCAACAGAGAGGCACAAATGCACAGAGAGAGTCAGCAACTCATGAGCTCTGCTTTTGGCCTTAAGCAAAGCACAGTGAGCATTCAGCGAGGCAGGCAGCTCCCTTGACTCTGAAAGAAAACAGGCCTGGGCTCTGCTAACAGGAGTTTGCTGTCATCTCTAGACATTACTGGTAGGAGAGATGTGCCAGAGAGATCGGAGACTGCATGATGCAAGGGGGATCCCAGACACCTTGGGACATGAAATGTGTAGCTGTGTCCTTGCTTTCAGTGGGTTCCCAGTGGTCTTCATCCACAACTGGGACACCTGGTCAGATCTCGGTGGGGATGGGATCAAGAGCTAAGTTCCAGCACAGAGAACATTACTGCTCTGGCTTCCCTTTTGCTTGTTGTGATCACAGTATCCTTCCTGTCCCGTTCTGTGTTAGCAAACACACCTCCTCAGTTCCCTTGTGCAGAGATGGCGCAGGGAATGCACCGCAAGCTCTAGTTACAAGGAAATTTCTCTGCTGATTGTTTTACGATATCTATAGTATCTACAAAACGCTTAATGAAAGCGTGCAGGTCTGGTTCAAAGAGCAATGCTTGGCTACAGGTTGGAGTTGCCATGATATCTTTAGGAAAACACTAATTTCAAGGGTCTGAGGAAAATATAATAATTTAGCACAGACTATCTGTAAGCTGCTATTCATCACCAAGTGAAAGAGCCCAGTTAATGATGACTTTTACTTCTTAAATGATGTCCATGCAGGTGGGGACACTCTGGAGATTAACAGCCTGTCTCTCTTCACCCAGGCTAATCAAGACAAGCCCTGAACTATCGGAGTCCTGCACGTGGTTCCCCGAGTCATATGTGATTTACCCAACAAACTTGAAGACTCCCGTGGCTCCAGCACAGAATGGAATTCGCCATCTCATAAACAACACAAGGACAGATGAGCGGGAAGTCTTCTTGGCAGCTTACAACAGGCGGCGGGAAGGCAACGAAGGCAACGTGTGGATCGCTAAGTCCTCAGCTGGTGCCAAAGGTTCATTCTCCAGCAAAACGAGCCACCTTCTTGTTATTCCATACTCTTTACTTGATCGGTAGAGTCCCAGGGTTTGGCTGAGCCCAGCTGACATCTAGCCTGTCTATGAAGGGCTTCACCTACCAACTCCATGCCAGTCAAGCCAGCATAGGGCTTTCCTTTGTCTGCTTGGTGGCATGGGGCTCCTGACAAGCATTGTAACATGCACATGCTACCTAGGACATGGTCGTAGGACAAAAGGGCCTCCACTTTTCTACACATGCGCCTCAAAATACAGGAAAGTTTGCTGCAGGGAGAAGGCAGTGGTGACCAGCAGGCGAGGGGAATGTGGAGAGCAGGAGATTACAGGGAGCAGAACAGGGTATGGGGAGGAGGGCAGCAGGCAGGACAGCAGCCTTCAAGGGCAAGGAGCCCAGCTCTCCATGCTGCAGCTAAGCCTGGTTTCACCTGGGCAGAAATACCGCTGCCTGTCTTTCAACTGAACCCACATGCCTGGTGCCAATGGCCTACCCATGGTCACACTGAGAGACTGGCTGAGCAGCCATGAGCTCAGTGCATCGAAATTACATCCAAGCCTCAGGGGAAGGTACCAGAGCAAAGACAATCAATGCAATGTCTGTATGTCCCTTTGATTTGAATAAGGCAATAGATACCTAAGTGAGAATGTGTCCTTCCTTGTTCCAGGGTCATTACATCACTCGCTCTACAGAAATAATGAGCTATTAGACGAGACAGCTGGACACAGCTATAGATGTAATGCTTTGGTAACTATGTGCTGTCAGTTACGGCAGTATCATGGGCACGTTATCAGAATGACTTTATGAAAACTTGCCTTGCCGTGTGTACAGACCCCAGGCAGCAGAGCCCAGCCCGAGGAAGGACCTGGTCTTTTCAAAGGGAAGAAGCCCACATGACTCACTTGTATTTGCAGAGTCACTTTTGATGCAGTCTTACAAAAATCACCAGAGAATATGAAAGCCAGAGGTGGCTGCAGGGAGGCTGCGTGATAAAGCTGTCCTCCATGCTGGCTTCCTTCACTGCTCTGCTCTCTTGGCTGTGTTACCAAGAAGCATCAGAAGAGTATGCTTATTTTCACCAGGGAGGAAGGGGAGATGAGTCCTTTCGTTATGCCAGTGAGGGAATGTGTTTCTGTGTGTTATAACTGTCTGGCAAAGAATCAGTCTGAGCAATTGAAAAGGCCATTGCTGTGGTTCGCTGCAGGATGGGGAGGTTTAAACTCTCCACATACTTTATTCAAGTGTGATCCCATCTTTTCTGCATTAAAGCAGAGTAACCTTTCATATTCATCAGTGTGCTGCAGAACTCAAGCTGGGAATTAAAGTGGAAAGCAGAGCCTCACGTTAATCTTCTAGAGGGAAGTTTTACATGTCTGGGGATTACTTCTGATGAAGAAGAAAGCTTATCGACATTAATTGCTAAGGCAGATCCAGCTCAGGCACAGCCCCTGACTCGGGACAAGTCTGGTGGAAGCTTGGTTGTCCATCAGTAAAAGTAAAATTAAAGGTTTAGGATATCCTGACTTAAAAGTTGAGAGATTTTTCAACTGTGGCTAGAGGTTTTGATGTTTTCTTTGAGGGAAGGGACAGCTGCCCCACATAAGCTGCTTTGCTGCCTCGCTGGGTTGCTGACTAGGTGCACAATTAAGCTAACCTCCCCCTTGATTCACCGTCTGTCCAGTGCAGAACGGGTGCCTGCTGATCTTCCCACTGCAGAGGCTTTACTGGTTTACAAAGATGATGTTTCCCTCCTTCCCCCAGTGCACAGCCTGTGGTTGTACCAGTGCAAGTTTCTGCCTGGCTCTGCTGTGATCAGGGGACTAAAAATCTTGCCCCCGCATAAAACATGGATGAGAAATATACTTTGATGAAAGGACTTCCCTTTTGGTGGAGGATGCTAGGATGGGTAGGGGGTCAGTAGGGCTAGGAAGCTGTGACTTGTAGGTATGCAAAGCATGCAGCAGTGAAAGTACCTGCAGGGCTGTGTTGACAGCGACCTTCAGAAGTCACAGCTAGGAGCATTTTCCATGGGATGATCCTGCCAAACCCTGCCTGTGATCCAAACCTGTGTTCTCCCCCCGATGCCCCCTTGAAGAGTGTTTGTTTCTTTTCACTCAGTATTTCCTCCAAAACACTCAGCACAAAATTAAGATTAAGTCACCAGCTTTAGTCCAAAAAGTTAACTAAATGCCTGAAGACTGGACATAGTGCCAGAGAAGTGTTAGCTAATTTTACCTGAGCTGGTATATTCCTCATGTGGCACCGTGCCATCCCTTTATCAAATCCCAGAAGGGATATGTTCTCTCTTCATTGCTCTGCAGTAGTGGTTTCGCATCTGGACTCTTGCAAGAAATGAACAGTGACAGCTTCAGCCAAAATGTGGCAGTATATAAACGGCACATCTGACTTCTTTAATGAAGAGCTTCATTAAAGGGGAAAACACTGACTACATGGATGGACATTTTGAAATAGTTCTTTTCCTAATTCAGCAATGATTTTAATAGTAACTTAAATGAACTCGGTGAGCAGGGCAACACTGTGCAAGTGTGCATGTGTGACTGCCTCTGGCAGCCAGAGAAGCCAGGCAGGGGGATAAAGTCTGAGTCTAGGATAAAAAAACCACAAACCTCCCTCCCCAAATGAAAAAAAAGAAAAATCTCACAAACAAACTGCCAAAACCCCTGTTCTTCAAACTGCTGAAAACCAGGGAAAAACAAAACAAAATTCAACAAGTGCTGAACACGTGCGCCGCCCCCCCCGCCCGCCTCCCACCAAGTCCAGCTGGAAAAAACACCAGAAAAGGAAACAAAATCCCCCAAACCAAGCAGCTGCCTCACTGCTTGCCAAGGTCCCTGTCTGCTGTGCATCCCCTCGCACCTAAATAGCCACCCCGCTACAGACGAGCCCCAGGCAGGCCGTGCCACCTCAGGCACTCTTGCCTCCCGTTTGCGTTAGCTCCGGTTACTGGGGAGCCAGACGCCCTGTGGCGTGGTAACAGGGAGATCCCTCTGCAGATTTACTGCCTGACACTGAGCGAACATGACACTGCTTGGGCACCGACCAGCCCTGGGGCCATGGGTCCTTGCTTGTTGCGTGGCTTTTTGGGCAAATGAGCCATGGTCCACTTGGGCCCTGAAAAAGCTCCAGCAAAGGTAGGAGGATCCTCTACCTGATTTTGTCTTCATCTTTCTGTGCCAGGGGAAGGGATCCTGATTTCTTCAGAGGCTGCAGAGCTCCTGGACTTCATCGATGAGCAGGGACAAGTGCACGTGATTCAGAAATACCTGGAGAAGCCTCTGCTTTTAGAGCCAGGGCATCGCAAATTTGACATCAGGTAACCTTTTCCGCTTTTGTAGCAATACTGGTTTTCATTTTCGTGCTGTTTCTTTTTAAGCCACTGAGACTAGAGTTTGTTCTCTCACCCCCAGGAGCTGGGTTCTCGTGGATCATCAATATAATATCTACCTCTACAGAGAGGGTGTCCTGCGGACCTCTTCCGAACCATATAACAGTGCTAATTTCCAGGACAAAACCTGCCACTTGACCAATCACTGCATTCAGAAGGAATATTCCAAAAACTACGGGCGGTATGAGGAAGGGAATGAAATGTTCTTCGAGGAGTTCAACCAGTATCTGATGGATGCCCTGAACACGACGCTTGAGAATAGCATCTTACTGCAAATCAAACACATAATAAGGTAGCCAGCTGCCTGTTGCATAGGGGAACATAACCCTTCAGCGACAGGGAACGCGTATAGACACAGCTGGGGAAGCAGACAGACCGCAAGGGAAGGGTTTCAATTGCATAAATTTAAGATAAAGCCATAAACACCCCAACGTCATTGCTCAATGAAAAGGGACCTCCGTAGGGAGGGTACATGTCAATGTGTCTGCATTTTGCCAGCTGTGGCTGGAGAAGGATGGAGTGAGATCACTTGGTAAGGGAAGAGGGTAGGTCAAAAGACAAGGGCTGGGAGAGGTTGAGATTAAGAACGGTATAAGGTGTAAGAGGAGAAATGAAGCCAGACTCAAGTCTGCAGGATCTCACCGCTTCCCCCACCATCAGCAAGCAGCAGCACATCTCATTAGCACAGGTCGTCTTATTCGGTCCACACAAAGCCAGCTACCTCCTGGGCACAGAATGTGCCTGGAGAGAGATCTCGGACATCACGGTGCCGCAGAGAATCCAGGTCTTGACAAAGTGATCCTTCGTGGTGGAATTTACTTTGCAAGTACCCCATTGCTGTTAACTGACACCAAAAAGATATGACACGATCTTTGAGGGACTTGGAGGCAAATGAGCTCTCAATGGCAATTCCGTGGGGACCTCATGCAGCCCTTTGTGGCTCTGCCTTCTGCTCCAGGCTCTAATTGCACATCATGTTTTTCAACTTGCCTAATCCAGTAGTGAGGGTGGATACTGCTCTCCAGCTCTTTGGGAGTTAGCTCAGGGCTCTCCCACATGTGTTTTGATGGTTGCATGATCTCACTTGCAGGGACCTGGTTACCATGGTGTGTGTTGTATATAGCTTGTAATTTGGGGCAGTCCCAGGGCAACAGGGGGCCCCTCCACGTAACTGTGCTATGCACATGCCCTCAGAAGCTGCAGTGCAACAGGTGTGATCGCAGGGCTTTTGATCTTGGGTTTCTGTTTCTCCCTTCACAGAAGCTGCCTTATGTGTATAGAGCCTGCGATCAGCACGAAGCATCTTCACTACCAGAGCTTCCAGCTCTTTGGCTTTGACTTCATGGTGGATGAGGAGCTGAAGGTCTGGCTGATAGAAGTCAATGGGGCCCCGGCGTGTGCCCAGTGAGTAATCAGTTTCTGTAATACCCTTGTGATGCCGCCATTCACATGCCTCACCCAAAACATGGCTGTGTCCCAGCTCCAAGCGAAAAAGGTGGAAGAAAGTGAATGGCAGGGGAGTTTTCCAGGCTAACCCATACCGGACACTGCTCTAAGTGCCAGCTGATTTAAGTTTGTTGCTCCTGTCTCTGCGTTTGGTATCCCCCAGCTTCTTTCCTATGTGAGATGGGACACTAACATCAGTTTTTGGACAAATGGGTTTGAATATAACTTGGGTTGTTTTTATTGACACTATTGGGTTGAAGTTATGTTGCAGAATTAACGCTTTGGGGGTCAGGTGGTTTCTCAGTATCTCTTGTGGAGCCACTGGTGGCTGGTCTTTACCTGAACACATGATAAATGAGTAGCGTTAAGGGCAGCAGCTGGAAGCGAGTGACTGAATTTGCAGGCAGCAGGACCCCAGAGCACACTGTGGACGCTGCAGACATTGGATCAAAGCCTCCACCAGCCACAGGGAGACTGGGACAGCCAAACAGCCATGGCCATGAACATCTCTGCATAGGCACAGCAGGAGGTGCTGTATTACGTGATTGGGACAACTGTGGAAGACTAGAAGTCTTTGCTAAATGGGCATCTGTATCGTATACAAGCCCAGCAAAACAGAACAGGCTGTACATCACTATATTAGAATTTGATTAGATTAGATGTAGATTAGATTAGATCATCACTAACAGTAGACAAAAAATACAGGTCAAACCTACCAGACAGCCTGTTCAGCAGCCTTTTCAGGGCTAGGGCTTGGGGAGCTTTCTGTGTCCAGGATGCCCTGTTCACCATGTGCACCATGGTGCAATACTGCCTTGCACCTCCTTGTGTTGCTGTATGGGTAGAATTTGGCTGTTGCTGGGCGGATTTGGTTTGCAGCAATGCCCTGTTTGCTTTGTGCCTCTGTGGGCACTTGGAAGCCATCGAAAGCAGCTGAGGTAGGTTTTGGCTATTTGTGGCTTCTCCTCTTCAGGGTTATTCTAATTTATAGCACCCATATCACACAGTTCACATTTAAGAGACAAAAATTGGCTGCTGAAAGCAGTATCACTCCCAGGAGTTGAAAAAGCATCTTACTGTCATGTAGCCCCAAAGGCACAGGGTGAAAGGCATTGTTAATCCTAGTAAAGACAGCTTTGGTACTAGAAATGTCCCAGATGCCAGCATGTTCAGGGAGGCTACACAGGTATTTCCTTCAGCAGAAAGTGAAGCTATTGTTAACTTATTTCTCAAACACCTTGTCTCTCTTCTCCCTAATTCTGCTCTGTATGAGCTGTGGCTGGTGAAACACATCCACGCTTCCGGAGGGTCCTGTGAAGTCTCTGTGCCTGGTCACAAGCTGATGTGCACAGCTGCACCCCAGTGCAACATTTCATCAAACCAGGAACGCATCAGAGCAGTCCCTCTGGGGCACATCCCCCCGTGAATGGGGTCTGGTGTGATAATCACGACTCCCTGAGTTGGAAGGCTGGTACAGGGGGTGCTCGGATGTTGTCCGCCCCGGTGCATCTTGCAGTGACTTAAGTCTGGGGCCTGAGGGTGTGGAGACTGCTCAGGAGCCTGTTCTGACAGTAAACTTGGATAATGGGTTTTGTGGTCCCGTCTGGCAGAGAGCAATATTGGGAATGGGAGCACCATTGAAAAAGAAGACGGTTGCTGGGGTAGGCAGGGAGGAGATGGAAGAGATGCCACCCTCCTCCCATTTGCCACCCTGGAGCTACCTGTAATGGGAGCAGGATCTTGTAGATCCTGCTGGGAAAATGCCTGTCTGTGTAAAAATTGGTCGGGGGCCTGCTGATTTGTCCTGCCTGGGCATCTGATTCTCTCTCTCTCATCTCTTAGGAAGCTGTATGCAGAGCTCTGCCAAGGAATTGTGGATGTAGCCATCTCTAGCGTTTTCCCCCTCAACGACACTGGGCAGAAGACGAGCCAGCCATCATCGATCTTTATCAAGCTGTGATGACAACAGGAATGCCTCTGCTGTGCACAGGGAGAGGCTGCACCCATCGGGTCAGCACAGTTCGGTGGCTTATCTCAGTATCATGCCAAAAAGTGATAGAGACAGGCTTCTTATTTTCTGGGAAATCATGGGGAAAAACAACAAAACAGGCATCCACACAGAGCTGCGATGAGCTAGAGCTGCTCAGATAACTCTGCCTGCATTCACCAAAATCCACTTTAGAAACAGCTCGTGTGACTTTGATATCTGAAACAAATCTCTCTGGGACAACAACAAAATAACCTTAAAATGAAACCCCAACAGGGATACTATAATACTGTATTAGCGCCTCCTTTTCTATAGAGATAACATTGGGTTTTTTAAGGGAATTGAGCGAAGAGAACGATGATCGTCCGGGACGTCATGGCTGGGAAGTTGTCCTCCTCCTGCTGTGTTTCTTCTTTCCTCACCTACTGCATCATTAGTGCCTTAGCTCAGCTCCAAATAGGTGACTCCTTTCCTTTGTTCCTGCCCTATTACGTAGAAAGGAGCAAGCTCTCTTGCATCGCAGGATGCCTAAAACCAGGAACACCAAGAATTCAGTTTCCTTAGGTCATTTTCTAAGTTGGTTTGCTGAACACCCGGGCAACGGCTGGCAAAAGGGTGCTGAACTGCAGGTGGTGAATTAACCCAAGCAAGGAAGGCAATTTTGTTTATTTATAGCTATCCCTTTTCCTAATGAGATTTGAATCAGTGTCCATCCCAGTCTGATGCAGTTGGATTTTGTTCAAAAGAGGTAGAGAGACGCCCTCAGGGCTCACCGGCAGGCTGTAGGATTTCTAGCATCACTTTTGTGCTAAGAGTGTTTCAAACAGCAGAAACCCGATCTCCTCAGTTTCTTCTGAGACACTGCAGTGAATTTAGGCTCTTCTCTCAGCTTTCACCTTCATGCATTTGAGGCTTGAATCTGAAACCTTTCAACCCAAATGATTTTTATCCCGTTTGATCCAGCCAATTTTATTCTCTTCCATTTGACAACTATTGCAATTTTCTGCCCTGAGCACAGTCCACAACTTGGTCCCAGCTAGGGGGAAGGTGGGTGAGGTTTTGTAGACCAGGAGAGAGATTCCTTGTGTATAGGTTTGCCACACAGCTGGGAAGGCAGGTGTTTTGGGGGAGAAGTTAAATTCCTTGAGGTCCCTGAATTTCAGAGCTAACATCTACTTTGACTATAACCTAAATCCCTGGCATATTGCCCACCCTGTGAAGTGTTTCTGAATTTTCAGCATGAGCCCAGCACATCCCTCCTAAGCTGGAGCTCTTTGCAGAGCACAGTGGCACTTGTAACAGCAGCGTGCTTTGTGGGGGGTGTTCAGGGCTGTGTTCTGCTGCCTCTGGCAAGGAGAGATGGTTGGTACTGAAATAAAATGGTTCCTGTTGCCCAAAACAAACAAGAAGATACTGTGGAGGTTACGAGCTTCTGGCTGCCTGTGTGTAACGGGAAGTGAATCAATGGGATTTCTGCCTTCCTCAGAAGATCCTAGCGCTTTGGCATACTCGTCTCTGCTCGTGATGGAGATTTCAGAGGTCTTCATGCCAGCAGACGAACCTGGCACCTTTCTGTAGGCAGGACTGAAGTGCCCAGGCCTCCTTGGACTGATGCATTTTGATCGTGCTGTCATGGGATGGACATTCGTTGCGATATGCTGTGAATCCAGAAGTGGCACCATTTCACACAGGGCCACTCAAATCCAGGAGGGAACAGAGTGCTTAGCAAAACCCTGCGGAAGCATCACAGAGAGGGCACATCCCAAAGAGCTGCACAAGCACCTCTGAAGTTGTGGACACCCTGAAGCGCGGCGTGGATCTGCATCTGCAGGGGGTGTGGCGGACGCAGGGTGCATGCTGAGAAGTGACAGGGAGCAGGAGCTGTGTGAAAACGGGGCTGCGGCTTTGTTCCCCTGCACTGTAAGTGCTGGCGGGTGGCTTTGCTTCCAGCGAGACCCCGAGTGCCAGGTCTGGTCTCCGGATTTGGGCCTCGTGGGTGTTCAGAAGAGGGACCGTGAATGCGTCAGTTTGTGAGGCAGGAAACACTGGGTGATAAGCTGGGAGAGGGGTGTGGGGGAAGGACTGGTTGGGTTTTTTAACCTTATGATAGCACATAGGTGTCAAAATTTCACTGCAGGCCAGGTAAAGAGTAGCGGTAACACCCCAAGGTAAAATGTAGGCTGTAACGGTCGTTACTCAACTTGCAAAGTTCACCACGTCTCCATTGGCATTTTCATGTTAGCTCATGTGAGCTTAAAAATTACACCTTTTTGCCCAGCAAAGGGAAGATCTAATAGCAATCGCTCTGGTCCACGATGTGGTGCCTGAGGTGACAGAGGAAACGTTGGGCTCTCGCAAGCTCTAGGGCAGACGAGAGCAGAGTGCAAAGTGAGAAGAGAAAATTCTCCCCATCGTAATAAAATGAGAAATGCTCATTTTCTGGGGTGCTAGACCCATCCTTCTTTTCCTCTCAAAAGGGAAATTAAACAACCAAATCACTCCCTTACTGCACAGTAATGTGAGATTCCTGTCGAGTAGTGGGATAAGGGCAAGAAAGCTGCCCGGATGCAGGCAAAAGCAGCGGCCCCCACTGGAGCAGCTGGTACCGCCGGGAGGAGCAGTGACTCAGGAGCCTCTGCCTAACTCCAAGGACATTTCTTCCCCCTTTTTCACCCCGGATTGTGTTGTGGCGCGTCAGCAGCTGGCTGTTTTTGCTGCTCAGCTAAAAGTGTGGCTTCAACTTGATGGCAGAGCCATGATCACAGGCAGTGCAGCTATTCATACCCTGCCTTTTCAGCTGCGCTTGGGGGAGATAGTGATTCAGGGACACTTTAATCATTGGCTTGTTTGCTGAATTTTTCAGAAATAAGCAACAGCCTCTGGAGGAAAACAGCAGGTATCGCGTGTATTTACCACCTGCTCTCAAGTGCTCCCCAAGGTAAAGCATAGGAGGTGAATGATAAAGGACAGAGAGCACAGTGCCTAAGGTCTTGCCCAAAATACTAGCTACGAGGTGGAGTAGAGGATGTGTGTATTGCTGAGGCCTGAGCATTGCAGCCACGGGTGCACCTTGCAAGTGATGCTCACAAGCCCTTGTGAGACTTTTGTTTGTTTCTTTTTTTTAGGAATACACAACAATAAATGTTTTCTAGCTTATTTCAGCTAAAAGGTCAATAGAAAGGGTCTTACTCTGTTTCCTGAGCTTTCACAAAGAATGGTGCTGGGTTTCCAGAAGACACCTACCATATTGCAGAACGTCTCTAGTCTTAGTTGTATCCCTTCATGTCAGCCATGAAGGATTTCAGGCCCAGGTGCTCTGGCTGCGTTTTCCAGCAGGGTCTGGTCCCGCTGGACTCTGGGTTTCAGGTAACTCCCATGTGGCTTGTCTCATACCAGGCTAGTCGTGATTACCATGCAACAGCTATTGTGCTCCTGCCGAAATCCAGTAGCTGGCCACAGCCCACGGAAAACACTGGAGAAGTCTAAGAAAGGCTCAAAAACCACTTCATCCAGGTGGCCCGGCTTCCCAGCTCTGCTGTGACCAGCACCCTTCAGGACTGCTTGCATGTCCCTGCTCCCAGCATTTCTTGTTCTCCACATGCAGCTCTTCCCCAGGAGAGCAATGCTGTGCCGTACGTAGGTTCATAATCATGTCTCATTGCCAGTGTCTGCTGTGGCAGCCCTCAGAAAACCCTGGTGTTGAGAGGATGGTGGGGTACATACGGCGCTGCCAAGCTGGCAGCCCGACAGGCTCCAGTTCGTGTCCCCAGCTGCTCTCACGTCAGCATGTGCGTGTGGGGCCAGCGGGTGCCTGAGCTTGTGGATCTCTGGCGACTCTACCCACATCTCTCCTAAACCATCATTAAAACATGCAAACCCCATAGCCTGCGGTGTTTCCTTGGGGCAGTGGGCCCCTGGGGTGTCAGGTCCCCTGGGAAACCTTCCTGTGGGTGCCTGTGGTGAGTGTTTCCTCCCTTGCCATGCGGGACCCCAGGAGCCGGCCCAGCCCCACAGCGGAGGTTTCCTCACCTTGGGGTGACAAATGTGAGACAGCAGCACGGCATGAAGGGCATTGGCCTCACACCCCAGGGCTGTCCCAGCACTGGTGGGAGCTGGGGAGTGTGGGGGGCTGTTTGGGGGTCCAGGGTGTGGAGGCAGCAGGGAGTGATGTGGGGTGGGAGGGGTGTCAAAGCTTCCCCACCGCTGCTGCAGGAGCCCTGGGGTGCACGTGGCTGCGGGGGGGCAGATGCTGGGGGACATGGGTGCAGATGGGTGGAGACACAGTGCTGGGAGTACCTGCCAGGAGGAGCATAGCTCTGGGGGACACGGGGTGGGGGGCAGGAATAGGGGGACACGGCTGGGGTG